GGGGGACCATATGGGATGCTGGAAATTGAACCCGGGTCAGCCGCGTGCAAAGCAAACGCTCTCTCCGCTGTCCTATCACTCCTAATCTTGACTAATATTTTTAACGTTAACTCTATTTCTTTTCATGAACTTTAATTTTGTGAATAAATTCTCAGAAGTGCACCTATGGACTTTAAAATCTCTCTGCCTGTGTGTCTCTGTTTTAAGAAAGCTTTAGGAGAGAGAGCACAGCGGGTAGGGCGTATGTCTTGCACACAGTTGACCTGGGTTCGATCCCGGCACCCCAGAAGGTCCCTGGAGCCCACCAGAAGGGATCCCTGAGCACAGATATGGGAGTCAGCCCTGAGTGCTGGGTGTGGCCCCCAAACCAAACCGAAGTAAAATAATGGTGGTAGGAGGAGTGGGTGGACTTGGGATTTGTGTGTGAACTCTCTCTGAAAAATTAAAAAAAAAAAAAGCCAACAGCTGGAACTGGAGAAGTGTCTTACACATTTGCTGGCCCCAGGAGTGATGCCTGAGCAGAGCCAGGGACACGTTGTGCTGTAAGGGCTGCTGTTGTTGAGGACTTGGCATAAAACAGAAAATAAAACACTTAAAATAATGCCTGTTGGCTTTGGGGGCGAGACAGGGGTTGGGCCACACCGGAGGTGCTCAGGGCTTACTCCTGGCCTGTGCTCAGGGATCACTCCTGGTGAGCTTGGGGGAATCATATAGGGTGCCAGGGATCAAACCCAGGTCAGCTGTGTACAAGTGTCCTATCTGCTGTACTATGGCTCTGTTCCAAGATATCTTTAATAAAGAACATAGTTGGGGAGATAGTACAGCAGGTAAGGTGCTTGCCTTGTACACATCTGACCTGGGTTCAATCCCCAGCATCACAGATGACATGATCCCTAGCTGGAGAGCCTGGAGTAAGCCCTGAGCATAGCAGGTATGGCCCCAAACCACACCCTCCTCCAAACTCCCTAACCTCCTCTTCCCCTCCCCTCCCCTCCCCTCCACTCCCCTCCCCTCCACTCCCCTCCCCTTCTCTCTCCTCCCCTCCAAAAAGCCAACAGAAACCCACAAACAATTATGTAAAATGAGAATGGAAAGAGAACCTCCGACACTATCTGCAACCTGATGCTGATCTATGTCATGCCAGGATATTATGGGGGCCCTTAATTCATTTACAGTCCTTTAAGAGCCAATGAAAGAGTAAATTTCAAAATTGGGTTTGAAGGGCTGTTCACATGTAAAAGACTTTGATAAGGAAATGGTAGTAACTTTCCACAGACCTGATAGATTTCTATCCAGCTTGCATTTCATTGCATTGAGCTAATTGATCGATAGCACAGTGGTAAGGCATTTGCCTTGCACGCAGCTGGCCTGGCTGAGCAGGGTTCGATTCCTCCACCCCTCTCGGAGAGCCCGGCAAGCTACTGAGAGTATCTCACCCACATGGCAAAGCCTGGCTATCAGTGATGTATTCGATACGCCAAACACAGTAACAACAAGTCTCACAATGGATACATTACAGGGCCCACTCGAGTGATGAACAACAGGACAGTGCTACAGATCTAGTTTGAGCAAATATTTTTGAGACCCTGATGTGAATCGTATCATGACACAAACCTACCCTGAATCAAAACTGCCAAAACTGCTAACTGCTCTTTGCTGCAGATGCAGCTAAGGCGGTAGATTCCACCATTTTAAGACTTTTCAGAAGATGAGACCAACAATATTAAGGAATTACTTTTTATGATGGGCTGGAGTGATAGCACAGTGGGTAGGGTGTTTGCCTTGCACGCGGCAGACCCGCGTACGATTCATCTGTCCCTCTTGGAGAGCTGGGCAAGCTACTGAGAGTATCCTGCCCACACGGCAGAGCCTGGAAAACTCCTCGTGGCATATTCAAAATGCCAAAAACAGTAACATCTCAGAATGGAGACGTTACTGGTGCCCGCTTGAGCAAATCGATGAACAACAGGAGGCAGTGCGACAGTGCAACAGTGATACTTTTAATGATAAACTACCAGCAGTTACTTAAAGGGAAACAGCAATCCCTCCCAGAACAGATTCTGGTAGACTGCATGCTTCACTCAAATGAGGCCCGAGGTACAGCACCCACCCCCACCAAATACCGAGGAGTTATCCTTAATGTTGATTCCAGTATTGACTTATTATAACGCAATCTCATCACACCGTTGTTTTTAAACCACTGATTCTACTTCTTTTTAATATAACATGTAAGACTTTGAATACAAAGACATACATGTATATTAGATACTATCTTTGTACCCGTCAGTCTTCTGCCCCTGCGCCTGACTGTCCTCGCTCGCCGGGACCCCTTGGAGGGGAGCGGGTTGAGCTTTCCTCCCCGCCCCGACCAGGGCTCCGGCAGCCAAAGACCTCCAGGACCAGCCACCACCATGCTGAGACCACTCTCCGCACACATGAAGGTACTGGCAGAGGGACAAAGTCACGCGGGTTCCGGGGCCGAGATCTCCAAGCCTACTCGGATTTGGGCCGAGCATCCTCCACCCAGATCCTCCAAATTCCAGTAGGCGGGGGTCACACCCACCAACTGGCCCCCTGGCGCCGTGTAATCCCATCAGCGGCCGACTCAGAGACTATAAAAACCAGATCCCGGAACTGCGCAGCTGCATTTGCGGCCGCGCGACATCTTATTATGACATCTTATTATTTCATTCCTACTTTGGACAAACTGGCAGGTTACCGAATGTAGCCTGCCCACAGGGCAGAGTCTGGCAAACTCCCCTTGGCGTACCCAATATGCCAAATACCAGTAACAATGATGGGTCTCATTCTCGTAAAGAGTCTTGAATATAATCTCAGGGCTAGGATGAAGGAGACGTTACTGGGGCCTGCTCGAGGCAATCGACGAATAACAGGATGATTTGTGGTTTGTGATTGTGATCTTTGTACCCAAAGACCTACATGTTATAATAGAAGTCGAAAATGATCTAGAATATACCTTGAGATTTGCTTCAAATTGAAGGAATAAATAACTTCCAAGGAAAGGCCCACAAAGTCTCAGAATGAAAATTAGCTACAAGAAAACAAAAGTATTATTGTAGCACATTTATCTTTCTAAACTACTTAACAATTATCCAATACCCGAGATTCCTAGGAAGGCACTGTAATTGGAAATCATGGGAAAGAAGAGGTAACTCTAGCCTAATCCATGTGTACACTGTCCCATTGTGTTTTGTGTGTAAAATGCACTTTGGTCACTACATAGATCACAAAAGCCCAGCTTCTATCTTGTCATCTATAAAGGTGGAAATTATTTGTGAAAGCCATGTCAAGATGCCTGAATAGATGAATTATTTATAAATGGGCCTGCCATTGGGAAGAAGTCAGCAGTCCAGTGATAACCCTGTATGGTTCTGGGCACTGACTGGTGATTCCAGCAGGGCTGAGCCTGAGTAGTAAGTTTAACAGGCCTAAGCTTTGAATTATGACTGTTTTTTTTTCCCCCCAAGGGGGAGCCACAGCCAGTGGTGCTCAGGGTTTATTCCTGGTTCTGAGCTCAGAGGTGGGCTTGGGGGACCGTATGGGGTCCTAGTGAGCAAACTAGAGTTGCCACATGCAAGGCAGGTACCCTACCTGCTGTCCTATTGCTCTGGCCTCTGAAATTATGACTCATTGGTTGGAATAGCCCTCAGTAGGCCCCTGCACCCTGAACACTGGGTGGCACCCCCTGGTACACGAAAGCATTTTGTAATGGAGTATCAGGCTTTCTGATTCACTTTGTGCTTCTCATGATCTTTTTTTAAGGCAGGGGCCAGAGAAATAGTTTAGGATTAAGGCACTTGCCTTTCTTATGGTCACCCCTCGTTAGACCCCCCAGCACCACAGAGACCCATCCAAGCACTGCCAGGAGTGATCTGAGCAGAACACATGTCCAGGCCACCCCCAACCTGCCCCCAATTTTTAAGACAGACAAATTCATGTCACCTCTTCTGGTTCTCTAGTAATTTCTAGTTTGTTTATGCATGGAAGTTAATTCCAGAAGCACAAAAGATCAAACCCTGGCCTCTTGCACATAAAACACACTCAGCTGCTTTGTCTCTTTGGCCCTACAAATGGTTTAAAAGATGCTTTCCACTCTGATAGTGGGTGGTGTTAGAATGCTATATGAATTCTTATCATTCACAGCATTGCACATCACAGTGCAGAAAAAAGATGCTTTCACTGTTCAATTACTTATTAGTTCATAATGCTCTGGAGGAAGGCTTTTGTTTTTCAGGTTATAACCAGCAGTGCTCAGAGGACCACATGCAATCTGATGATCAAACCTGGGTCAGTCACATGCAAGTGAAGGACTCACTCTCCAGTGCTGAAACAGCTGCATCATCATCAGCACCCTCCTTGCATTGCTGGGTCTCTTCATACAAGAACAACTTTAGTCCTCAACCACAACCAATCCCTCCCCACCCCTCGCCAACCACACGAGTTCCCATTCTTAACTAGAACACCTGTTGCTCCAAAGCCAAAGGAATAACCCTGAAGTGCGAGTTATTTCCTAAACATCTACATATATGTATTTTAGTTTGGGGACCTTACCCAGTGTGCTCAGGGTACTCTATGGGGAGCACGTAGTGTCCAGGATTGAATCTGGGATTCCTACATGTAAAACATGCACCAGACTCACTGAATTCTCTCTCCAGCTCTCTCCCTTAAACTCAGGACAAGAGAGATGACTTCTAGGGCTGGATTTGATCCTTGGCACCACATGGCCCTGGGAACCACTGTGAGTAACAGCAACTGCCCTGGAGCATGGCTAGGTAGGGCTCCTAACACAAAACCAAAAGCAAGCCTACTTGAAACATTTTCGCTTAGGATACTTATTCTGTACCAGAACTAGTACTTCCTTAAAAACTGATTTAAAATACTTTTTTCACCATGAAACAGATGTTTTTACATTATTACTAAAACAGGTATTTTGGTGTAGAACATTTATTTATTTATTTATTCACGAAACACTCAAAAGATCGGTGGGAAATAATTTTAATCAAAGAATTGTACATTTCTTCCCACGTATCTTGCTTTGTATTAGGAAATGACATTGCAATCCTTTTCACTACAATATTACAAAATATTTACAATATTAAGAATAACTCAAACACAAAAGGCAAGATGGGGTAAAATAAACTTTTCCCCCCCCCAGAAATCTCTACTCCAGTGCCCCTCAACACATCAGAAGAGAACCGAAACAAGTAACGAAGATCCCTGGTCACAAATTTCCAAAGATTTGTAAAGGGAAAGAATCGAAAAGGGATGGAAATGATGGTCTGAACGGGCATGGATGTTAGCAGCACTGCTTCGACAACCCATCTAATCTGAATGAAATACCCGTTAGGATATGGAGTAAACTGTGAACAATGCTAAACTTTAGGATATTTCTTGAACTGAAATGAGAAAATACCCTGACAAGTGAAAGTAGCTCTGCCTGCCTTTACTCAGAGCCTTTCTGCACCAACCACTGATGTGAACAAATTCTGCTCTGGCCCCAGCCGCTGTCACAGTAGCCCTTCCATCTCTTTCATGAACGCTTCATAAACATCATCCTTAGTTTGTACTGAAACAGGAAGAGATGGGCCAGATTTAGGGGCTGCTTTGGCAAGAGGCACAGCAGAATCATCCTCCGACTTTCTTTGGGGAGCAGCGGTAGCCCCTTTATTCTCCCGACGGACCCTCAGTGCGGTGGGCACAAACCGAGTAATCTCGGCTTTGGGGTTGGTGATCTGTGGCTTGGCACTGATGGTTGCTGTCGCCTTCTTCTCAATGGTGGCTGCGCTCGTATCATCCGCCTTGGGGCGCTGGATCAAGTTGGGAGGCGCGCTTAGAACTCCTGGGTTCGGCAAGGGAGCCGGTGGGAAAAGCCCAGGCGGGGCAGGTCCAAGTGGAGGCACCAAAGGTGGGCGCATCATCCCAGGACGAGGCGGAGGGATCCCTAAGGGAAGAACACAGGCAGGTGAGCACCACAAAATACAACTCGACTCGTATTAAGTTGGCAATTTTAACTTTGGACTTTTGGCCTGTATTCCTCCTTCAGTTTATATCCCTCTTTGTAATTTTCTCAGTAATACAAAACTTTAAAATATAAGTTGCCTAACTTCAAATTGGAATTTAAGTTTGTTAGCCAGCCCGAGTTTTTATTCTAGCTGTCCAGGGCAGATGCTTGCAAGGTGGGATTTATTCCCCGTGTATCACTGGTTTCTACATCACTCCATCCAAAAATGTAACTCAAGTAGTTTTAGCTTAAACCCTCAATTAGGAGAATCACTGTCATCCCGTTGTTCATTGATTTGCTCGGTCGGGCACCAGTAACGTCTCCATCCATCCCAGCCCTGAGATTTTCGCAGCCTCTCCTTACTCGTCTTTCCCAAAGGTGCCTTATTAGAGGCTCTTTCAGGGTCAAGGGAATGAGACCCATTATTGTTACTGTTTTTGGCATGTGGAATACTCCACGGGGAGCTTGCCAGGCTCTCTGAGAGGGACAGAGAACGTATACAAGAGAATTTAAGCAAGTAGGTACCAAAATGTAAGTACAATTATATAATATTTAAACAATATAAGCGTGTTCATAAAACAGCTTATCATAGAATAAATAGATAATAAAAACACTGGATGGTTTAGAGAACATACTTCCAAATCAGATCTAATTCTGAGTCTTAGTTTGCCACTAATGGGTCCTCCTAAGTTCTCATTTCTCTCTCTGTCCAAGGGTAGTGCCATACTGCGGTGAACGGGAAATGAGAGGATATGCAAGCATGAGAGCAGCAGGCTCAATAGAAGGGACTCCTGTCAATATTGTAGTCCATGTCTGAGGTGTTTTTGTTAAGCACTCTATTTTAAATTTTCTGTGTGTGGGGACAGCAGGTTTGAGCCGGGGCTGGCGGGAGCGGCAGGGACCTCATGGGAAGGGGGGCTTTGTGGGCCGTCCCCCATGCCCCACCGAGGTCGCCAGCTGCCCCCCACGATCGGCTCTCCGGCACGGCCACGGCCCCGGAGGCACAAGGACTTAGCACAGAGAACCAGCCGCTTGGAGCAGAAAAGCAAATGGACTATGTGTTAAACCGCGCCACCAAGCCTGCCCGGAGGGGAAAGGGTGTTGACCGGCCCGCCCGCTCCTCTCTGGAAAGAAAGATGGCGGCCGCACGGGAGCCTTGTGGACAGCAGGTTTGAGCCGGGGCTGGCGGGAGCGGCAGGGACCTCATGGGAAGGGGGGCTTGTGGGCCGTCCCCCACGCCCCACCGAGGTCGCCAGCTGCCCCCCACGAGCGGCTCTCCGGCACGGCCACGACTCCAGGGCACAGAAACCAATCTCTTAACTAGCTAACTTTTAATAGAAATTCTTCCAGGGTCAATAAGTAAAATAGCAGAAATTCAAAACCGCGCGGCCGCTATGGCCGTGCGACATCATTTTATTCTTAAACCAAGTTGTAGAAAGCAAATCATTTCACAACGCTGTTTCAGCATGTCTGATTGGGGGGGGGGGGGGTCGTAAACTCTAAACAATAATTGTGCATCTTCTATCGAAATAATCTATCTAGTCACAGTAGATAGAGTATTAACTAGAACTCATCTGCCTCACAAGAATTGGGAGGGGTGGGAGGTGGGGGTCTATTGGGGTTCGGGGTTAAAAATAAGTATTGGTAAAGGGAAATGTGTTTGATATCTACATGACTGAGACCTAAACCCGAAAGCTCTGTAACTTTTCCCACAGTGATTCAATAAATAAATAAATTATAAAAAAAAAAATTTCTGTGTGTGTGTGTGTGTGTGGGGGGGTGTCCTTAGAGGACTTACAGTCATCTGATTTTCATTTCATTTGATTTTGAAATTTTTAAAATTTCAAAAACAACTTGAGAGACTTGCACAGAGCTCAAAATATTCTTATTTTGTAATTTCTTAGCAATTACAATATCGCCATAACTGAAAAGGAGTTCACGCACTGGCAGTTTACACTTAACATCATTTACCCAAGAACTGCAGATCTCAATTTCTTCAAACGCCACTCTTGTAGAGGGAGGCTACTTGATTTCAATGCTCAGGAGACAATGAAGTCTTGGAGACTGAACCCAAGTCTCCCTCATGCAAAGCACCACAGTGGTTCTCTGAATCCTCTCCTGACCCTCATATCCATTAGTAAGAGTGACTAAAGTACTCAATTTCATTATTGCTTATAAAGATGCATAATTATTTTATATGCCATTAAGAAAGGAAAAGAAAGTCTTGTATAATGAACTGGAACACCCAGTTTAATAAACCAGAAATACAATCCTATTTTTAAAAACTCTAACGAAGAACTAAATCTAAAGTGGTATGTGGTTGGGAAAGCTTGTCATACGTGACAGACAAAATGCAAACACTCTTTGAAAGAACTTCAATTTAGGTCAAAAGTAATGGAAATTATACCACTTAAGATACCTCTTTACGATACCAAAACATCAGTCTTAGAGCAAAAAAAAAGTAAGTATTAAGATGAATCGAAATATGAGACAATACATTTTGATCTAGAAATGAAACACTACCTGGAGGTGCAGGGGGAGGTAGCCTTGGTGGAGGTCCCCGAGGAGGGGGGCCTGGAGGCAGACCTGGAGGCGGACCTGGGGGAGGGCCGGGGGGCCGGCCTGGTGGTGGTCCTGGAGGTAAAAGTCGGGGTAAAGGCCCTCGGAGTCCTGGCATTCCGGGTGGCCTCAAGAATGGAGGAGCTCCTGGAAAGAGAAAAACGATACATTCGCCTTAAAACAAAGATACAGGAAATATTGTGATTTTAAAAACACGTAACTCAGATGCGGTTTAACTTAGCACTTTAACTTGAAACAATTAACAAAAAAAAAAACCCTACAGAATATGTGGAAATATCATTTATTCAACAAAAACCTGAATACCAGAGACTGAATTTGTTTAGATTCTTTCTCTTTATATTTTACATATTTTCCATATGTATATTTATAAATGTATTCTTTTTATTTATGTACTGATTTAGAAATGATCACCACTCTACTTGGATGATACAAAGATGAGGATTACTAAATATCCCAACATAAATTAAAAATGGAACATAAAGCACGGTACTTCAAAGATTCATCTGAAGCGCATTTGGAAAAGACAAGGACCACCCATGTTAAGACCTGTAATCTTTGAATCACTCAGAAAAGGAAAACTTCACCTGAAGAAAATTTATAGGATCAAGTGTTGTAAACTGCCCTACTTCTGCAAACTATATACGTGGTGCACCTCTGGGGGTGAGGGGCACCCCAAGCAGAGTTCAGGAGAGAGCTGGGCGCACCACTCCCAGTGAAGGCTCAGCCAGCCGATCAGGACAGATCAATAGTCGGGGTCAGCAATGCTGGAAACCAAACTCTTATCTCACACATGGAAGACATGTGCAAAAACTGATTCGAGCTATTACATAGCCCATTTTAATGCTTTTAAGCCAAACTCTGATTAATACCAGTCACTTCTGGAGCTAAGGTTACACAGATATCCAATAATTACCAACCTATAAAAAATACGAATACTGACCATGTCCTAGTCCCACTCACTACCTGAGTCAACTTGTCTTATTTAGACATCACTTTATTTCCATACGTTAGTGCTTACCTGGAGGTGGTCCAGGAGGAAGGCCTGTAGGTGGCCCGGGTGGTCTTAAAGGAGGGGCAGGGGGTGGCCCCAGAGGTGGTGGTCCTGGCATGGGAGGTGCCTGTATCTGAGAAGGAGGAACAGACTGCGGAGGCGCTTGCTGCTGGGAAGCACCAGATGTGCCATCAGAGAGTGAGTCCTCCTTGTGCTGCTTCTGTGATGGTTTTTCTGTGTCAGAATCTTCCGAATCATCCTCCTCCTCCTCTGAAAACTCCTCTACTTCACGTCCCTCCTCAGGGATTTCCTGACCTGAAATTTTAAATCAGGAAAGCAGATTCCTTTCTTAGGCTGAAAAAACCCGGATGCCAAAGAGATACACCCACTAAATGTTTCTTTAAAATTAATCTAGCAGTTTTTGATAAAATACTCGAGAGGTGTTACAATCCAAGAGCATATTCTTCTATGCTAGGATAAGAGAGCTGAGCAAGCACAGGGTTTAGAAGAAAACTGGGAAGAAATGGGCAGTTTACCTCATGAACTGGTTTTCGTGGGGGGAGGGTGTAGCTTGAGCCAGACCCGGCAGTGCTTGGTGATCACTCCCTGAAGTCCTTGTGATGCTCAGTACTAGACTATGAGAGACTGTGAGGCAAGTCCCTGATCTATCTCTACGGCCCCATAGATCTGAGCAATTTTTTAAAAAATTTTTTTCTGTGCCCCAAGCAGGAAATAGCTCTGGCCACGAACCTAGTATGAACAAATGTCCATCTGCTATGCTCCTAACTGACAGAAGAGCAACAACACCAATGAGGTGTCCCTTTGCCCACTGCCAGAGCTATCGTAGCTTAATTTTTATAAAATAAGAACTTAGAACAATTATTTCAGGGTTGCTGAGATGTTAAATGTAAAAACACAAGTAAAGCAACAGGCAAGAGAAACACCCAAGGACTCATCTTCTCTTCCCACCTCACCTGCCATTCGAAGCATCATGGCTTGGAGAGGAGTCAGCTCCTTCATATTCTTCTTTTTCTTCCTTGACTTTCCAGGCATATCTGCAAATCGTACACTCAAACCTAAGGAGCAGAGGAGGGACACAGTCCGTAGGCAAACATTAACAAAACTCAGTGAATATTTAGTAGATATCAAATACTGTAAGGCACATACTAGCTATGATTGCTGTCTTCTACTGGGCAGAAGATAAAGACAGAGCATGCTAATGACACATGGAAAAAAAAGTTGCTATTAATGTACTTTATCCAATAACTAAGTTCTAAGGGAAAAAAGATACATTTTCAACATCTTTGTAAATAATTGATTTTTTCCCTAGTAAAGTATATAAATTGTGAAAACTGAACAAAGAAGTGACAGGACCCAGAACATACATTAACTGAAATGGAGCCAAGGATGCTCTAAATAAATACATCTGATCTAGTCCAAATAACTTGTCAGAGAAATTTTCTATAAAAGTGTATGAAAAGATAGCTACCCAGAACTCTTAAAACAAATTTTAGCTTCAATAACAAAACTAACCTGGCGAACATAAAATTTAATTCAAGTGTCTAAAAAAAAACCATTATAAGCATGTAGGATTGGTCCTAGAAATGCCAAGACTGTTGTGGTGCCAGTGATGAAACTGGAGCAGTGACTAGGCAAGGTCAACGCCCCCCGACCACTCACTCTGAACTCTGAGATCTTCCTTATGACTTTCCTTTACTGTTACTTTCTGTTCTGGGGGTGAGGTGGGAGTTGGAGCCTCATGTGGTGGTACGGAGGAGATTCCTGGCAGTGTTCAGGGACCATGTGGTGCCAGGGATGAATTCGGGTGAGCAGGATGCAGTGTGAGGGCCTGACCTCCTTACTCTTTTTGGCCATTTTTCTACATGGGGAGTTTGAGGCGGGGCTATTTTACAAAGTACATGTAACTGTCTGAATTTATGATACATACATGAACATAAATTATTGGCTGAAACATATTTTCCTCGAACTATGACTCCACTCGTAAGCTTACTTGAATTACACTTGTGGTTTTATGTTTTTAAGATACTAAACAAATTTAAAGGACGTATGCTATAGATGAATAAAATAGTTACCCCCCCACCCCCCGCCCACACTTTCAGGACACATCTGGGGAGTGCTCAGGATGTGAAACTGAGCTTGAATTCTGCATGCTAAGCATGTATTCTAGCTTCCTTTCCTCTCTATGCCCATGACACCTCTACTTTTTATAGCTCTTACCTTTTCCCCTAAAAAGTCCTCAGGGAGCGTGTGTGCACCACACAGACACACTATTCTGTTAGGGGGATGGGAGCAGGAAGCACCCCTGGCATGCCTGAATGCTACAGACCACTCTCTGCAATACTTGGAGGGGAGAGACATTTAGATGGTAACTGGGATCAAACTGCATGCCTGGCACATGTTAGGTATGTGCTCTACACTGGAGTCACAGCCCTGGACCTTGATATTTTACACACTATTCTGTACTTCACACCACACCTTTCATACGTTTCACTGAAGACCATGTGTCAAGAGCTTATGAGATTTCTGAGACAAAAAGGTAAAAAGAGCTATGATCTTCAAGAAACTCATAAAGACCCCGTAACAAATCAGGATCTTTGAATTTTCAGTTGCAGACCTTTTTTTTCTTCATTGGTGTCTCTCTCATTATCATCCCGGTGCCCAAAGTCATCGCCTTCACTTTCTCCATCTGATCGGTCAGTGTCACTGTCATCAGTACTGTCATCGTGCTTATCTTGATCCATGTCCTCAGGATAGCCATCATCTTCACTGGTGCTGGAAACGTCATCATCATGACCCCGCTGAGCTGAGAGCAGCGAATAAGGAAAGGAACAAATGAACAGATTCTCCACACCACGGAATCTCTCTCTCTCTCTCTCTCTCTCTCACACACACACACACACACACACACAAACTCACTCAGGGATTGCTTCAGGGTTCTGGGGACCAAATACAGTGCCAGGGATTAAACATGAGTTAGGTCCATGCAAGGCAAACATCCTACCTGGCTGTACTATCATTCCAGCTCCAATTATGCTCAGTATTTGACTCAGAATAATTTAAATTTTTACATACGTATCCCTTCTATTCAGAGAGTCTGACAATACTTTCAAGTAACTTTAAATTCCTTTCTGATGACGGATATAAGATTATTTTGCAGGAGGAGGGGATTTGGGTCGTATCTAGCAATGCAAAGCGGTCATTTCTAGCAGTGCTTTGAGAACATATGCAGGACAGAACTGACCGAGTGCTGACTGCATGCAAGGTATGCACTTTAACCCTTGTAACTATTTCTCTAGTCCCCAACCTAGTAAAGTAAAGGCCCTCCCGTTGATCATCGATTTTGCTCGAGTGGGCCCAGTAACATCTCCATTGGAGACTTTGTTGTTACTGTGTTTGGCATATCGAATAAGTCACGGGGAGCTTGCCAGGCTCTGTCCCCAACCTAAGTTTTTCTTTTTTTTAATTAAGAGATTTATGAGCTGAAGAGATTGTGTAGGACAATAAGGTTCTTGCTCTGCATGTGGTTGACCCCTGGTTCAAATACCCACACCACGTATGGTTTCCTGGGCACTGCCAAGAGTGACACCCCCCTCCCGCACAGCTGGATATGGTCCCCAAAACAAAAGTGGGCAAACAATTTTAAAAGGTTCATGCTTGAAAATAAGCCCACTTCAGAACTTACTATGTAAGTCACGTATATAATAATGCTGTCACATATATAATAATGCTGTCTGGTAACAATAAATGAAAGGCAAACATATCCAACTGCTTCTATATTCCCTCATATATGATGCCTTTTCTTAGGCAGATCCTATGATTTATCCCTTTGTCAGTGTATATAGTGTCCACTCATCACTTTCCAATTTCTGGGAATGGTGGACAAGGTATTACACAGGGCCCACATTGAAAAAGGAAAGTGGCTGTAAGGGTAAAAGGAAACAGTCAATGCCTACCCAGTTCGGGACTATATAGCATGTCTTCATCTCGCCTCCGAGGAGGAAGATCTAGGGCAAAGCCAACTTTACGGCCATACATCTGTAAGACTTGAGGAGGTGGCGGCCCAGGAGGAGGACCGGGAGGCTTTCTGCCAGGAGGCAAGCGTGGGACACCGTGTCCGAGAAGAGGAAGTATAGAAACTGCCCGAGATGGAGGTCTGTGAAAGAAAATTATAATTAACAATGACATATTACTGCCCTCTTTCAACAATTTTCAAGGATTTATTTCACATGTAATTATATACCCACATGTAATCACTACTGATATGCACATTCTTATACTCTACTGCACTGATTTTAGCAGTGTATACACAAGAGGAACTTTACTAAATTTTCTGATTATGAAAAAAATTGGCGATCGGGTGGGCTGAGGTCCCAAACAGGGCTTGGGGGCTTAGGGGATACTCTTTATGATACTTGGTCAAATGGGCCGGGTCATTCAATGGGGTCAGCAATGCAGTGGCACTTAGGGCCAACAGTGTGAGGGCCACCAGGGCCAGCCCCTAGTACTGTCTGGGAAGCCATGTGATCAGAGGATCAAACCTGGGGCATTGAGTATGCTGTACTTCAGCCCTCTGACACTAAAAAGTGCGTTTTGGTTATGTTATCACTTCCTTACCCATAGGCTGAAGTCTTCTTAAGGATGGAGGGCGGCTGGGCACCAGGAAGGGGAATGTCCTGGATCAGGATGTTGGAAGGGGCATGTGGCATATCTGGCAAAGGAATACTCTCCACTTCCACATGCTGAGCGTTCTGAAACAGAGGGAATCCTTCAATAGTATAAGAGTAATCTACAAGACAGACTTACAGTTTAATATCATTTGTTTCATAGACTAGATTTTCCAAGTAGCATATTATGAAAATACAAAGTCGAAAGTATTCCCAAAGACTATCAATGAATTGAGAAAAATCTTTACTCCCTCTAAAAGAACACAAAGCCAGCTGTTTCTCTTATCAGAGGGCTCTTTTTGACTATGATCTGAAACAAATGCTGTTACGTAGAAGTCCAATTGTTGAAGTATTAGCACTGAAGACCATCTACACATTCTGGCTAACAGAATGATAGACATCCAGTGGCAGAATTTGGCATCTAACTTTAATATGCTTTATGGAATTTTTGCCATATGAGCTGATGACATTAAAATTAAACGAGTTACCTTAGTCTCTTTCTCTGTGAAACAGGATGCTTATTACCTAATTGAAAAATCCTCATATCATTTGGCTATTTCACAATGTGATGTAAAACAGAATCACATATTTACCGAGTTTTGGCATATGTACATCCCTCAGTCTTTCAGTTAAGTCAATCCCTAACATATAACAAGGCACCCACCTACTACTAACATTTTTCTGCCATAGCTTTGCCTGCTTTTCACATAAGCGAAAACTTTGAAAATTCAGATTGTTTTCAAAGTTTATACATTAAAAAAGTTTTTAACCCTATACTGCTATAAGTATCAGTAGATAATTCCTTTTTATCCTCAGGAGTATTCAATTTTTATGTTTATCCAGCATCATTTTAATGAGCTGGAATTTTTCTGGTTTGGAGCTACTACTTTAAGCAGTTGGGATTAATTTCTCTTATATATGTTGGATTAAGATATGTTGGCCCAAAAACCTGGTGTATATTTAACACATTGCAGAAAGAGGTTCAGCGCAACCAACTCTTTTATAAATTTTCTGGAGCAAATCTAAGTATTAAATTTTATTTCTCAAAAGAAACTTGATTACCTTGACAGCATCAAAATACTGGCTAAGTTGAGCCCTTTTCTGTTCATATTCCACTTCCAGCTTTCTTAATTCTTTGTATATATCTGGATTCTCTTTCTCATACAGCCGTAGAATACGTTCAAACGTTTCACGCAGTTTTTTACGCTTATCTTTCAGCACCTTCTCATTTAACTGTGGTTGTTGTACTGGGTTAAATTCTTGAGAGAAAAAAGCAGATTAGAGAACTAAACAGGTCACTTTAAGACGATAATCATTTAGTAAGACTCTGCTGATATTCAGGCAAAGAACTATAAATGGTTCTAGAGATCAGATATCCTCTTCAACTTTACTCAAAGAAACTGGAGCTGATACTAAAACCCTATTGGTTTAAGATGACCTTTATTTATTCATTTATTAATTTTTTTGGGGGGATACCCTCGGTGATGCTCAGGGATTACTCTTGGTTTTGTGCTCAGGGATGACTCCTGGCAGGGCGTGGGGGACTGTATATGATGCCAAGGATAAACCCCACTCAGCTGTGTGCACTGCAAGCGCTCTCTACCCATTGTGTTACTGCTCCAGTAACATGTCCACTTATTTTGATAATCATTTCGTACCAGATAGCATACTCAAATCTATATACCAAAATCAAATGTATCTGGTTACACACACACAGACACACAGACAGACACACACACACACACACACACACACAAAGCAGTTTTACTTTCCCAAGAAATGTCACCTTTCATCATCAGAACAATGAGTTAATTTCACTCCTTTAAACTAAAAAGCTGGTATAACTAATGTTCTAGCTTGGTTTTCTCATTTCCTCCTGAGATCTTGAGTACTTTACTTGAATTCTGATCCTTTAGTGCCTTTGTCTGGAAAATGAAAGCATCAACTATTTTACAACAAAGCTCTGATGATTAAACAGAACTACAATAAAATATCCAGGATGACAGGCTCATCAGTCAACCAGTTTTATAATGGAACGATGTTCTTTGTCTAGCTACCACTCAATCCTCTTTCAAGGGATCATGTTCAACATGATGCGTAGTTTTTAGGTCTTCAGCCAAGAGAGGAATATCAGCCAGACTCCCAGGCTCTCCTAGCCTATCAGAATTTTCCTGCCTTCCCCACCCTCCAGACCCAGACAGTCAAGACCAACTGATATATGATCTGAATTGTGAAACGCTCCTTCTTTGAGATTTAAATTCCTAATTCTTTGTATATATCTGGGTTTAAAGGTACAGCCAGGAGACAGACGCTCTCTTACACAGGAATATAACACAAACCTAAGCTGCCTGTGGCCTTGTCTCCTGGCAATCATGAACTCCACGAACAGTGGCCCATCTATCCTAAGAAGTCTTTATTTTAGGACATTTTATTTTAGTCCCACTTAAACATCAGAGCTTTACTGTGGAGTAGTTGATGCTTTCATCAACTGTATATAAGTTAACACAGATCAGTCCAGAGAGATGGAATCTTGACAGTGATCCCTGAGTTTTCCAGGTTAGCTTCCCTCTAAGAAATCCTTGCCACAGAGACTAATGTAACTGACCTTGTTCCCTAAATCCTTTGACCTATTAAGTTGGTCTGGAGCGATAGCACAGCGGGTAGGGCGTTCGCCTTACAAGCGGCCAACATGGCCGACCCGAGTTCGATTCCTCCGCCCCTCTCAGAGAGCCTGGCAAGCTACCAAGAGTATTTGATATGCCAGACACAGTAACAACAAAGTCTCCAATGGAGACGTTACTGGGCCCGCTCGAGCAAATCGACGATCAACGGGAGGGCCTTTACCTTTTACCTTATTAAGTTGGTGATTTTCTGATGAACGTAGTCTTATGTCATGCTATTCCTAGTGTGATTAATCAAAGTATATTGAATGCCTTAATTTTAACCCAGACTTGTTTCCTAACAGAATTTACCTAAGAAAGGTAAATAATCCTTGGGTCTTACTTTCTTCATCTGTAAAATAAGGACAACATAAAAAAGCTACTGAGAGTACCTCGCCCGCACGGCAGAGCCTGGCAAGCTCCCCGCGAAGTATTCAATATGCCAAACACAGTAACAACAAAGTCTCCAATGGAGACGTTACTGGGCCCGCTCGAGCAAAACGACGAACAACGGGAGGGCCTTTACCATTTACCAAGAATCAATGTGGGAGTGGGTGGCAGTGTGGGGAGGGGAGGAATTGATATGTAGCCCACAACTAAGTGTACAAACCATGAACTTCAGTTAAAATCTCTTAAAATGACAAAAATCAGGAGCTAGGCATATGGCTTAAGAGAGAGAACACAGATTTTTACTGTGTAAGGTCCTGAGTTTGGTTCCCCAGCACCACGTTTTCCCCTAGAGGACTACAGGGTGTGGCTCTTACCGGAACAACTAACTCACAGAAATCAATTTGGGAAAATTTGCTAGACCTAGGGATACTACCACATCCATGGATACCAGAGCAGGGGGAACATGGTGAAATAAACAGGGAGATGCAGGATCAGGTAGCCTGATTGAGAACTCCTGGCCAAGGTTATTAGTACATTGACTCTGGCATATTGAAAAACCGTCTGATATTAAGTGGTTTAGTATGTCAACTCTGGCTTATTAAACAACCGCAAAGGTATAAACTTAAAACATTGAACGAGTTACTGTACACAGAGCCTCTGTACTTTTTTTGGGTTGTTTTGGGCCATACCCAGTGGTGCTCAGGGCTTATTCCTGGCACTGTGCTCAGGAATTGTTCTTGATGGTGCTCACGGAACCACATGGGATCAAACCTGGGTCAGCTGTATGCGAGGCAAGTGCCTTATCCCTTACAGTAATTTCTCCAGTCTTGACATCTTTTAGTATTTTTCCTACATATCTTAACCTTATTGAAAAAATAGAAAATAATAATAAAAAAATCAAGTAGCCAGATACTTAGAATTAAATGGCAATTGTCACAATGAAAAAAGAAAAACAAAAACCCCACAAAACCAAAAAACAAAAAAAAACACAAGGTAATTTGAAAATCTGTTGTCCAAATATGAGCTGGCCAAACTAAGCATTCATAACCAAAATTAGTTCAAGTCATTAAGCTATCCCCTCATTTTAGATGAGATCTACAGTTAGGAATAACGTTACCAATTCTAATTCATGTTCCTAATACTAAGCCAAATCGAAGTGTCACATGTCATCAATCATCCTTTATATATATTTTTTCTTATGTCTGTACTGCTTTCTGAGTACCTGCCTGCTTGTCCCAGTGTATCAAACCGTTATCCCTGCTGTACAAAAAAATCCAACCTTTTTATATATTCTTACCCATTTCATCCAATTTCTCCATGTCTCGGATAATTTGTTTAGGATCTTTCATCTTCAAAACGGCAGCTCGTACCATCATGCGTTGCTTTTTGTTCTTAAATAATGAACAGAACGTCAGGATGTTGTACACTCAGTAATTTTAAATTTCAATTTGGATAAAAAATCTAAACTTTAAATTTCAAGTGAAGTCAACTTCTGTCTTTGAATTCTTCTCATGTTTCCACCACCAAAAATAGCATTATTTTTTGCTCTCAGAAATACTCAGGGTGAGGCAGACTGACTTGCATATTGTAGACTGCATACTTAGCTTTCAGGAACCTTGGGTACATTCTCTAAGACATGGCCCCCTCTTAAAGTGCCAGGCTCAGGTAAACCAAACACAATAAATAAAATTTAAAAAATTATTTATATGCCATTTTAGGTTTTTTTTTTTTAAATCTTGTGAAGATCATTAGCAGTTAGGGGGACAGAACACTAGTACAGCAAGTAGGGTGCCTGCCTGACCATGGTCAACCCAGGCTGAATACCTGGCGTCACATATGGTCCTCAAGCCCTGCCAGGAGTGATTCCTGAGCAGAATCAGAAGCCCTGAGCACTGCTGGGAGTGCCACCCCACCCTCAAAAACAAACAAACCCCCAAGGTTGTTATTAGTTAAAAGTTTAAAAAAGGGGCTGGAGCAATAGCACAGCGGGTAGGGCGTTTGCCTTGCATGCAGCCAACCACGGTTCAATTCCCAGCATCCCATATGGTCCCCTGAGCTCTGCCAGGTGCATGAACCAGGAGTAACCCCTGTGCAATCCCAGGTATGACCCAACAAACTGGAAAAAAAAAAAGTTTCAAAAAAATTCCCCACAAACACAAAGTGTACAGTTAAATTCTAAAATTATGCATTCAGAGAAACACTGCATAATTTAATGCTAAACAATGTAATAAGAGCACACAATTTCAAATGATAAAAATCTGAGTTAGGGTCAGAGACAGTACAGCAATGAGTTGCTTGTCTTGCATGCTGCTGCCCTGGGTTTGAGCCCTAGCACCCCATGTGGTTCCTGGGTCTCGCCAAAGCACAGAGCCAAGAGAAAGGCCTAAGCACCACTGTGTGTGGCTCCCCAAGCCCCCAAATAAACAAAATAAAATCTGAGTTCTCATTGTGTTAGGCTTGCCACTAAAAAAGTAAATCCTTATTCTGGTTAAATACTTTACAACAAACATAATAACTATAGTACAAAGTTAATTAAAACAAATGTAATCTACTTAGACACTTAAACAGGGCTGTCTGCATTCAGGATTAAGGCAAGCACCTTAATCCTTTCTGGAAATTTTATGGTTAGTTTAAGAAGCATAAATTTTTCCCCCTAGTATATAATGTTACTTCGAAATCAGCTAATCCCAAATAACATAGTGCTAAATAACATCAATATATAAAAAGGATGTTTCTGAGCTCCTACCTTCTTTAATTCTCTCTTCCGGGCTTCTTTCCCTTGAGAGAGAGAAAATATAAAACATTTGAATCCTATCAGCATTTGCTTTAACAAAGGTAATTCTTACTGTGACCAGCTGTCCTGCGCACTGACAGGTTGAGCAGCACTTTGCCTTACATATTCCTGATTCTTCTAATTATGTAAACAAAAACATCAAAGAAAAGCATCTTTTCTTTCTAACTATGAACATGAAGGAGAAAATACCATAATATTCTTAAGTTTAAACTTACTAACAAAATAATATTGAACCCCCCCCATCTTATTTTACGTGCTAATCTTACAAATATGGTACTTGTTCTTTGGTATATTTAAAGTTTTTATCCTGTATTTACAAGGACAATAATAACTTTATACAACTGATTCTTAGCACTGCTAATATTGTAATTAAGACATAATAAAACAAATTCCCCAAGGCTTCAGATTTTTATTATTCCTCTTTATCATTCCACATTAAGAGACACTTACGGGCTTGGTCTGTAGGGTTCATAAACTTTCCACTCTTGGTGGATGATGTAGATCTTCGTCCCATGTTGATAATTTGTGTGGTTTACTTGCTTATCAAAAAAAAAAATGAAAACCAACAAACTGCAAAAACAAAGAAAGAGCTTACTTTTCCCTGCACTACAAAATTTATTCGTTCATTTATAAAATCTGTCGATATCTGAAAAACATTCCTTTGAAAATCTGAGACCCCTTTTTTCTCCTTTGTTTTTACTTTTAGTGTTTAAGGATGATGGTAGCCGCTTTCTTCACCATAAAAAGTTAGGTCCTTAGTTTTCCTTAGAAAGGAAATGGACTTGAGGATCACTGATCTATTACGTCCTTAATTGAATTCTCTTTATGGGTCACAGCACTGTCAATAGAAGAAATCAATCAGAAGCAGCGTTACTAATCCAAGGCAGCAACTACGCTCCCTTCAATTAATCGGGAGAGGGAGCAGGGTACTGCTGGGGGCTCTGCCCCATTCCCGGTATTTCTCGGCATGTAACCCCACACCCCCTAAAACAGCGAAAACTCAATTAAGCCCAAAGCCATTCAAAATTCGCTTGGCACTCAAGTTTATCATCCTTGGTTTGGGGGTTTAGGACGCCAGAGACGCACAAATACCCATTGCGGGAGGGAGTCGGATACTAGTCCAGAACACTGGATGCAGAAACGTCACTCTTTAACATAAAAACACTTCTCTTGGCAAGGGACTGCCTGACGCCCGGTTTGCCTAACGGGATCTGCAAGGGGCAAGTGGGGGGCGGGTGGGGGGGCGACCCTCAAAGCCCATCACGGTGCCGGAACCAGCCCGACCCCGGGATGGCCCGGGTCAAACTGCCGCTTTGCAGGCACACGCTGGGGCCAACTCTCCCCCTTCTTCGGGACCGAGACGCGTCTGAAAAACGGGTCCGGGCTGGGGTGGGGTGGGGGGTGGGGGGGTAACCAACCCCCACATCGCCACTTCCCCCTCTTCCCCGACGGCGAGTTTCTTAACGTCTCCGCCAGGTCCCGGATTTCGGCTCCAGGTTTCCGAAGCCCGTCCGGGATACAAGGTTTTTTTTTTTGTTTGTTTTTGATTTAAAAAAAAAAAAAAAAGAAAAGTGGGCCCGGATGGACGGGGGCGTGCGGGGCACGAAAGAGGAGGAGAGAAACCGCGGGTGTCACAGCCCGAGTCACTTTCGATTCTTTTTTTTTTTTTTAGTCTTATTTATTTTTTTGGAGGGGGCGCGGGGGGGAGGGGTCCAAGAGCCGCGGCGACGGGACGGCCGGCGCCCCCACCCCCACCCCCACCCCGCCCCCCTGCGGGGTTCTCAGGCATCTCGGCCCGGGGGCGGCCGCCGCGGCGCCGGGAGCAACTGCCGAGGCCCCCCGCGACGGTTGCGGCCGGGCTCGAGTCTCTCAGATCCCCCCCCTTTCACCTCCCCGCACACGTCAGCGCGCAGACACGGGAGAGGCGACGCCCCCCGGAGACCCCCGGCGCCCAGAGGGAGACCCACACCACGGCGGGGCCTGGTGTTTCCGAGGCAACCGCGAGGGCGCCGCGAAGGAAGCGCAGCGAGGCGGAGGGACCGAGGCGAACCCCCCCACCTCCCCCACCCCTGGACCCCCCCCAACGCACACTCACATTTCTGCCGGGCTGCCGAGGCTGGGAGGGGCGGAGAGGGGGCGAGTTTTTACGGCTCTGGGACTTCGCAGGGGCCTTCACCTCTGCCGGCCGGTCAGCCGCCCAGCCACCGCCATCTTGAAAGCTCGCGCCCCTCCGCCACCGTGACGCCACTTCCGGTCTGGCGGAGCCGGCGAGCTACGCGGTTCCCGGCTCTGGAAACCATAGAGAGTCAACACGCGTTTCAGGCCAGAGTGGCTTCCGCCTCGGGAGCAATCCCGGATTGGTTGGGTGGCTGGCTGGGAGCCCGCCCTCCTTCCGCAGACGGGGGCTCTGCGTCGATTTGATGGTCATCTAGTTCAATGACGGCAGAGCCAATGGAACATCCGGCTGGTCTCGATCCTCGGCGGCGCAGTCGACTTGTTCTTTTCTCCTTCTGGCGTCATTTTCTGGGCTCTCCAGGGGTGGGAGCAACCTTTGCGCTGCTGTTTGGGTCTCTTTCGGTTGGGGGCGTGTGTATAAAAATTCAGGAAGTTCGACACTCCTTTGTAAACCTGAGCAAATCAGGACCCAGATTAGGGCCCCAGGTAGCTAATCAGCACGATTTGTGTTTGGAATTGGCAATGTGGGGGAACTCCCTACAGTTGAGAATCAGAGAGGGACCAGGGAGAGAGCACACGGGCCACGGTGGGGCAAGGACGTGCCTTGCATGCTGCCAACCCAGTTCCAGGCGGAGCACCGGGTGTGGCTAATTTCCTCCCCCGAGTCAGTATAAATTCGGGAATGGAAGCTTATATCGGCTTCTTTCCCGTGCACACTCAACATTGATCCTCTATGACGTCACACACGACGTCACTTAGGTCTGGTCATCTTTTCCTTCTATACACTTAAGATTCCTCCCCTATCACTTCTCCTCCAAGGTAAGGTTAAATGTTTGTTACAGGACCCTCTAATGTATTTCTCATCTAAATAGCCATCTAGGAAAATCTTAGAGACACATCGCTTTTCATGAGTGATACATATTCCGGAATATCAGTGGAGATGTGTATTCATTTCCGACAATTTTATATGTTCATTGACTATGCGGGAACGTGTCCTTTTGTCCTGACACCACAAAAACAAAGTTTGTCTCTTAACTAACTTTGCCTATTACAGCTTTGGTTTGAGACAGAATTTTTCATCCTTGGAAAAGCATTAACAAGATCCTATAGAGACTTACAAAGCAGTCAATAAAGAAGACTTACTTTTGTAGGTGAATTTGTGTTATTGTGCAACTAATTAAAAAGTCATTTGAACATATTAGTCATTTGCTCGAGCAGGCCCAGTAATGTCTCCACTCTGAGACTTGTTGTTACTGTGTTTGGCATATTGAATACATCACGGATAGCTTGCCAGGCTTTGCCCTACGGGTGAGATACTCATGGTAGCTTGCCAGGCTCTCTGAGAGGGGCAGAGGAATTGAACCCAGCTTGGCCAGGCTGGCTGCGCACAGGGCAAACACCCTTCCACTATGCTATTGCTCCTGCCCCAATAGTAAATAGTAAATTAATAATTTACTATTTGATATATGCTGACCTTTTTTAAAATTTCAAGACGTTTCTTGTTTTAGGTTGCAAGAATATAATAAACTCTTTGTTTTATTTTGTTTGATAGTCTACTCAAACCCATTCTTGCATGAACAACCTATTTGTAATTTGGTGATGGATTTACAAGACAAATAATGCATCTGCAGAAGTCCAGCAGAACTATTAGGCCTCCATAAGCCTCTTTCTCCCCTGAAATCAGGTTATTAATGAACTAGGTAAACCATCTCAAAGTTTTATTTTTATTTATTTATTTATTTATTTTGCTTTTTGGGTCACAACCAGCAATGCTCAGGGGTTACTCCTGGCTCTGCACTCAGGAATTACTCCTGGCGGTGCTTGGGGGACCATATAGGATGCTAGGAATCGAACCTGGGTGGGTCTCTTGCAAGGCAAACGCCCTACCCACTGTGCTATTGCTCCAGCCCCGTTTGGTTTGGTTTTGTTTTGCTTTAAAGTTTTAAATAGCAAGGGGAGTTTCCTACTTTCTGAAAGTATTGAGAAACTCTTTTTTTGAGATACATTATTTTTATTGAATCATCTGAGATAGAGCATTAACAAAATTGTTAATGATTGCATTTCAGTCAAACAATATTCCATCACCCATCCCTCCACCAGTGTAATTTCCCAGCACCATTGTCCCTAGTTTCTTTCCCACCCCTTCAAGCCACCTTCCTTCCCAGCCTGCCTCAATGGCAGACTCCTCTCTTTCTCTCCTCTCTCTCTCTCTCTCTCTCTCTCTCTCTCTCTCTCTTTCAAACTTTTTCTTGGAAGTTATTAAATACTGGAAGGTATTAAATACTGCTTTTTGTTTAAATACAAATTCTTATGAAGAGTAGCTACTGGAAATTAGTTATACCAGAAATAAAGCACTTAGCATGTATGCGTGTCATCGCGGAGTCAGGAGTAATCCCTGAGCACCAATCCCTGAGCATTAGGCCCAAGCCTAATATCCTGCAGCCCCTCAGCCCCACCAAAACCAACCAAACAACAACAAAAAACTTAGCAACTTCCTTGTACCTTAAATGCATTTTAGGCTGGGATTTGCTTGATTTTTTAAATATCCTAGAGTGTTAAAAGATCATTTGAGGGTTATTTGACCATCATACCACTGTTGGTAAGGTTTTGCAGCAATGACAGAAGAAAGCCTTTGCGTCTAAAAAGTTTAGTTTTTGTGGTGTTGGGACAGAATCCAGGGCATTACACATACAAGACATATGCGCCACTAGTAAGACACACTCTCCACTCAGAATATTTATTTTTGTAATCTTTAGTTTTTATCATTTACAAAGACATCCAGAGATTCTCAGAAGTTTCTGGATCCTTTGTCTCCTTTCTTAATTGAAGTAAATGGTAAACTGTATTTCAGTCTCTTCCTCTTGACAGGAAATCGAGCTTAAATGTTTGGTCAAAATTATGGCATTGTTTCTCTTCCATTCAAAGGCTCACAGTTCATGTCTTGGCTGAAGTTAATTAAATGATGTCTGAAGCAAGTGGTAGGAACATCAATGTAAATCATTGTAATCAATGCAATTACAATCAGTGTCACTGTCACTGTCACTGTCCTCCCGTTGTTCATCGATTTTCTCGAGCGGGCCCAGTAGCGTCTCCATCGTGAGACTTTGTTGTTACTGTGTTTGGCATATCAAATAAGTCACAGGTAGCTTGCCAGGCTTTGCCGTGCAGGCAAGATACTCTCGGTAGCTTGCCGGGCTCTCCGAAAGGGGCAGAGGAATCGACAATCTGTAAATTTTAGGAATTCGAGGCATAAGACAAAAGGAAATCCCTCCACTCCTGCCTTACAAATTTTACTCGAGTATTGATCTGGTAGTACAGAGTAAGAATATACCTTCACAGGATTGATGCAGAGTCTCACGTTTGCTAGTTTTGGCATCTTTAATTCTTCACAAGTTGTTTGCTATATTTACTTATTTTGGGGGGTTGGGGATTTCTAGAGTTGCTGAAGACCACCAGGGCCAAACCTGGAACTTCCACATGCAAGGCATGTGCTTTCAGCCGTTGGAGCTCATGCTTCACTACTGGTTATCATGTTTTCGTATGTGTTGGAAATTTGGGGGAAATAGACCCAGTGGAAGAAACAAGATACTACTATTGAGCTAGAAGCAGAATACTATTCCAAAAATAAAATACCAGTTTATTTCATTTGATGTTTTACTGTGTTAGTGACCTCAGTAATAGCATGTTGATATTTTTCTGAGGCGGACTTGAATTCCACCAGATGCTTCTCATAACTTTTGATGGCTGCTTGTAGCTGTGTTTTCTCCACTGCTCCGAGAATGGCCCGGAAAATCATATCGATGCCAAGGCCAAGAACAGCCACCCCAATGCTACCAAGGAGAGAAGCACCAATTTGAGCTAACACGGTGACCAACTTGCTCATTATGCCAGTTGTCACATTGGAACCGATGAGTTTAACAGCCACTGAACTGGCTGCAGAAGTAGCCTCTCCCAGGATGACTGAAATAACCTTTTGTACGATTGCAATTTTATCTGTTTCCCTCTCTTTAATATCTTGAAGTTTTCTATAAAGAGTTGGCTCTAGTTTATCTTTTAGGGCCTCATCAACCTTTTGCAGTTCCTTTTGGATGCTCATCATGGCTTGAATGATGAGATCACAGTTTTCTTTGATAGTCCCGTTGCTTTTCATCTCAATAGAGGCCAGCCTGCATCCCAAGTGCGTATTTAAAACCCCAATGAGCTTGTTGGTGGCATGGAAACTGTCAGATAAACAGTTGAGGAGCTGCTGGTGAAGATGGTTTACTTCCTGCCGCCTCCTTGGGTTCTCAGGGTAGAGGAAGTCACTCTGAGCCATATTTCAAATATGATCTCTGGAAAATAAGAGAGTAAATCTTCCCTGAACATCTTGAAAAAGAGCTCCTCATAATAGTTTTGGTCAGGAAACAGTTTTATTTTTTAAAAAAATGCATAACATGGAGGCAAAGCACTCTCCCAGTAATTTCTCACAAAACTTTAGACAATTTTTCCAAACAATTATCCTTATGAGACTTGAAGTTAGGGACTGGAGTGAGAGCACAGCGGGTAGGGCGTTTGCTTTGCATGCGGCTGACCCGGGTTTGATTCCCAGCATCACATACGGTCCCCCGGGCACCACCAGGGGTAATTCCTGAGTGCATGAACCAGGAGTAACCCCTGTGCCTTGCCGGGTGTGACCCAAAAAGCAAAAAAAAAAAAAAAAAAAAAAAACCAAAAAACAAAAACAAAAACAAAAACAGAAAAAAACAAACTTGAAGTTAGTGTATGGAACATATAGGGTAACAGAAACAGCCTATTGCTATATTGATCAAGGCATTACATTTTGTAGAGGGTGGGGAATTCTGGATAGGAGGAAGATATTTGATTTTCAAACAAGCATCTGGTTATTAATAGAGATGATTTTTTCAAATAATTTTAAAATAATACTTGAAACACACTGGATTAACTCTTTATTACCAGAATTTCATAATTTTTCCAACCAGTTGTTATCACATTGACTAAATTTGCCAGATTGATTTATGTAACACTTGGAGTTAAATTAGGATCTAGAAGAATATTAAGATATCTGATTTACAGAATTGTTAATAATCAAATTTTATTTCTAAAATGTTACTGTAACTTATAATATTCAAGTTACTGTGTGTGTATGTGTGTGTTTCAAAAGATTGAATTCAGGAGCTCACACATGTAAGGCAAATAAATGGTCTACCATGCTCACACATATACTAAAATTGGAATGATACAGAGAAGATTAACACGGCCCCTGCGCAAGGATGACACGCAAATTCATGAAGGATTTCATATTAAAAAAAATGGTCTACCACTGGCTACTTACCCAGCCCTACATGTATCTCTTTATAGCCAGATTACTATCTAAACTTAAGGTACATCTAATCTCAACACGCAGGAAACAGAATTTTTACTTTTCTAAAAAAATTCTCATGAGAAGAAGTCTGTATGCTCAAGATTTTTTGGATTAAAATATCACCCGGTGAAAAAGTGAGCATGGGGCAGAAGATAGTGCATTTAAGATGAACTGATTTTCCATCTACAAAATTTATAAATGATAACAGCCTATGTGACCCTTGATCATTATTAATCTAAGCCAGATAAGCCTGGAGAAAAAGATAATGTGGTTTCACAAAATATTAAGCAATCTGCAGCAGTAGTACCCCTGAGAATAAACAAAAGAAGGCTAGCTGGAGGGGCCTTCTTGTGTGGGTTGTTTTTTTTTTTGCCCAAGGAATGTGCCCAGAAAGAGCAGACTTGTTCTTTTGAGTTTATTGGGTGAAAAATCTGAGTTTGAGCCAGTTAGAACAACTCAACATGCAGATGGTGCATAGATTTCCTGTTTGTCTTGCACTTCTAATTCTCTTTTAAATTTTCGGAGGAAAGAAAGGTAGATTCTTCTATAGCTGCATGACATCTGGAATGTTTTCTCTGTGCTAAGCCACAACCTCATTAGTTTGAGTCCTATCTATCTATTCTAGGATCATGATTTTTAGCTTGGACTTAGGATCATCAGAAGTATACGATGAAAGAATATTCTTTTTTCCTTGAAAGTAAGCATGAAAATAATCTATCCTCCAAATCAGAAAGATATAATTTGAAAGTAAAAGGAAATTTCAAAGTGGATTAGAACCATAATCACTTTAAACTTCTAATTAAAGCATTATATTTTCTTGTGAGGGAAAGCGAAGTTTAACTTAGAATAATAATGGTTAAGTGCAATATAGACTTATAAATTTTTCTTTTCTGTTCCGGGGATCAAACCTAGGTGTTTAACTTAGAATAATAATAATGAAGTGCAATAGTGACTCTTCTAAATTTTACTTTTCAGTTCTGGGGATTAAACCTAAGACCTCACTCATGCACAGAACCATTGAGCCATATACTTGGCCCAAGCTGTTCAATTTAAAAAACATTTTTATCATGTTTCTTGTCATATCTGGGATCAAACTCAGGGTATCACACCCTGCTCCCTACCTGGCAGTACTTAGAGTTTACTCTGGCTCTGTGTACAGAAATCACTCCTGATGGTGTGTGGGGACTGTATATGGTACAGGGGATCAAACTGAAGTCAGCCACATGCAAGGAAAGCACCCGAACCGCTGTGCTGTTTCTTTGGCCTCTAGATGTAAATTTTTTAAATAAAGTAGTTCACAATATTTCATTACATTTAATATTCAAACACCAATTCCACCATTATTACACCTTCGCGCCACCATATTTTGGGCGTTTCCATCCCGAACTCCAATCCCTGCCCCAAAGCAGAACTGAAATAATATACTATTTCACTCTAAGGTTGATTGTTTCTTTCTTTGAATCCCATCAAATGTGGTGCAGTACTCTTGGAGTATGGGTAGGGTGTTGGTATGAAGTGTCGCGCAGCTGCAAGTGTGTTTGGGTGAGGCTTGGCTCCAGCGTGGAGCATGAGCATTGTGGTGGTTGAGTTCTGGAGATTTTGAGCTGCCGGGGCTGGGTCCCTTGGGGTGGGGAGTGGTCTTTCCTGCCCCGCTCTGAGACCCTGACATTTTAAAGAAAGTGCACTGGTGCCCTTTGCAGAAAAACCTTTATCATGGTCAGAAAAAAATTTTTCCCTCCTTTGATTCAGAGCCAGCCACCCCCCACCCCCAAGACACCCTTGATAGATTTCCACAATAGTTTCTAGAATATAATTCAATTTAAAGAAATTGTTTGCTGAGGGCTAACACAGTCTTTAGACTCCAAATACTACTACTGTGTTCATTGGCTGTGCCTGAGTGAGGTCCTAGGTTTGATCTCCAGAACTGAAAAGAAAAAAAAATTAGAAAAAAAGAAAAAAATTAAAAAAAAAACTATACTGCACTTAACCATTATTAATTTAAGCTAGATTCTTCAAATTTGGGGTTGCAAACTGCAATCCACTAACTACAAATTTAGACTTTGATTTCTGTTTTTGTTTGTTTGTTTGTTTGTTTCCTCTTAAAAGTTTTCATTGAACTTTTTCTTTTGGGGGGATTTGACTTTCTAGATGTTATCATGAAATGAAAACTCCAGTTTCTGACTGAATTCAGAAGATCTCCAACTACATGCCTATTCATATATTTAGGTGAGAAAACACTTAATCCCAAAAAGGCAGAAGCTATCTAGAACTTTTCCTATTCCATAGTATGAAGCTGTTAGCGTTCAAAAAAGGCATGTGGCTCTGTTTACCTCGAGATAAATGGATGAAGAGGTGAATGGGGTTGATGTTGATGGATGTTGATGCTGAATGCTTCCAAATAACTTCTAAGTAATTATTTTATACAATTTTATTTAGTTGTAATCATAAGTTGTATTCAGAAGTCTGAATGGATAAGACTTTCTTTTTTTCTCAGAGAAAATTATAATAGGAATTTTCCCTCTAAAACTGTATGTTTTTGTAATATTATCTTTATTTATTGGGGCTAGGGGGTAGGCCACATCTGGAAATTCCTGATTCTGTGCTTAGCAGTGCTGGGGCTTGGAATCTAACCCTGAAGAAGCAGGGCTGGCCACAGTGAGGTTAGTTAGTGCCTTAAGCCTTATACTATATCTCTTGTCCTTCTTTCTCCTTTACCTTGAATGATTACTGTTAAATTCAGAAGGCCAACGCAGAGACTAGAGATGTGACTCAGTGGTTAAGCACTTGCTCTGTGTGTGTATAAGGGTTTAATCTTCGGTGCCTGGGTTCAATCCCTAGCTCTACAATAAAAGAAACAAAAATCAAAGGGGTGAAGCTAAGTTATGTTAAATAAGAATTCATATGAAGTAAGAGTCTTTGTTTCCATTCTAATTTACTAAGACATGCTGAATACTGGACCAGCATAAACATTTTAACCAGATTTGATAATGCAAGTAGATGATATTATGGAATAAAATAACCCACAAATCAGGTACGTTTATATATTGTATTTACTATCATATTACATGAAGAACTTAACTTAATAATTGAAATGACTCCACAAGTGAGTCACTCTAGGTATGATGGACTAGTTTTTGCAGTTTATAAAAATTTATTTTTATTTTGGGGTTACACCCATCAGTGTTCCGGGCTTACTCCTGGTTCTGTGCTTAGGGATGACTGGTGCTTAGGGAACCATATATACTGCCAGGGATTTGAACCAGGGTTAGCACCATGCAAGGCAAGCACCTTAGCCCCTTGTACTATCCCTAAGGTCCCAGAATTCCCTTTCTTAAAGACCATAGTAGTTACTTAGGTATGTTTCCAGTGCTTTTAATACCAATCATAATCAGTATATTTAGTTCTGGGATATATATGTTCCCCAATCCATCTTCAAGGATAAACTTTGAAAAATTAGCTTTAAAATTTTTTAAATAAAAAAGTGATTTTACAATATTTTTTTAAAAGTCATTTTATTGTGTTTATTTTTTGTTTTGGTTGTGAGGCTGCACTTGGCGGTGCTCAGCTCCGGCAGGCTCGAGAGACCATATAAAATGTCAGGGATCAAACCCAGGTGGGCCACGTGCAAGACAAATGCCCTCCCCACCATCCCATCACTCTGTTTTTGAGCCATACCTGGCAGTGCTCAGGGGTTTCCTCTAGCTGTGAGCCCAGGGGTTACTTCTGGCAGGAATTGAGGATGCTGTGAAGTGACTGGGATCAAACCTGGGAGAATTTGTGCATGGCAAGGTCTTACCCACTGTGCTATCTCTCTAGTCCCCAAAAAGTCATTTAAAAACCATCTGCAAATGACTTTGACAGATTGGCACTCCCAGCGTCCCTGGCATAGCCCTGCTGGGCAGGCTTTCAAAACAAAAGATAGACACCAGCATATCGATTACCAACTCCTTTCTCTGGAAAATGTAAGTTTTATGTGATTTGTTATAATATGGTAACTGTCAGTGAAAATTCACGCTGGGAGGGCCCAGACCTATCTGCACAGGAGAGTTGATGTTAAACTTTTTGTTGTGGTGGTTCCCTAGAGACCTGTGGCAGGCAGTGGGCAATTGCTGGCCAGCAGGAGGAGCTCTTGGTCCCTGCACCCCAATTCTCCCCAAGCTTCTGCGTTAGCTCTGTTTTCCCAGTGATTCTTGCCATGTCCAACACATACAGAAAACAATAATGATGAAACAATTTGGTCTCTGAGATTTACCTCTCAATTAACTTTAAAGAAGAGTTAGAGGTAAGTTATATAAGATAGATGCTGTTTTCATCATTTTGAAGCTGGACTAGCGATTCACATGGATTTACCATATTATTATCTCCATTCCTATGGGTGTTGGAACTTTCCCAATAATAATAATGAAAAACATGACCCCTGCCAGCGACTGAGATTTAGTGTTTGTGCTTTCTGAGGTTTTCTGTTTCTCTTGGCTGTCACTTTCTTCCACTGTTCAGCGTGAGTCTAGCTGTCATACAACGTTCTCACAGTTGGGAGGGTAGGAGTAGATTATCGGTAATGTCGGGAACTTTCCAGGAGGAAACAGCAGCTACTAACTAGTTGTGAGACTACCTTTCACTTATTTTGAATAAAAAAAACTATAGCCACCATGGGATGGAGAAATAATATGCAGAGGCCAGGGCGTTTGCCTTGCACTTGGTCTACCCAGGTTCAATACTCAGCACCCAAGGTGGTCTCCCAAACACCATCAGGAGTGACTCCCGAGTGCAGAGCCTTAAGTAAGCCATGAGCTCTGCTGGATGTGGTCCAAAACCCAAAACCCCAAACGACTACAATAAAGCAACCCCCAAGACCACAAACATAAGTTGACCCTGCTGATGACATGTTTTTAAAGGTAAGTTCTGATTTCTGATCAGAAAGTAGAATATCAAAGTCATTCAGC